TGAGATGACTGGCCTTTAATACCACAGTTGCCATCTTTCATTCTTGGTATGACTAACCAGCAGACAGTTCTTAACCAGACTCCCATTGACTTTAATATCAGACTTCAAGAAGCTCTAGCGGAATTTAAGGCAGTCATTTTCACTCCACCTCTGAAATTCAGCTCTGTAGGCCACGTTTGAATCGAGTCTGTGATGAGGACGAGCTGAGTAGCAGGACCCAAACTGGGCAATAGCCTGCTTAGCGTTAGTAAGTGCCATTTGATAAGCAGCAACCACCACCTTCCAGTACTAAAAAGTGACATATAGCGGATGCTGGAAATCAAAATTAAAAATAGGTCTGAGTACTTCAGCACTTTGGCAACACCTATGGAAAGAGAACAATTAAAGCTGAGTGGAATATGTTGCAAAGAAGCATCACATTACACCTGAAATGTGAACCCTTTCTCTCCCTATAGCATTTGTTTTTATTACTAATGAGTTGTCTTCTTGCTTTGGATGGGGAAGAAATATTGCAATCTGAAAGCAGCTCAAAAGGCATATTTGCCATCTAGAAAAATCAGGATGCGTGAAGTCAGTAGCAATTGTATTGTCCAAGGATTAAAGCTGTTGGTAAATCCGAATTATCAGGAGTTATTTGATATATGCAAATTTCAAGCGACAAAGTCACAATATATTATCTAAAATAATTCAACAGTATTCCTAAGGAATACTGCAGTATTCAATTTAGATCTCTTCCATAATGCACAATTTTTTTTCCCACATTTGCAACACCTAATTCAACTTGTCAATGTTGTTAAGATGGACAGGAATAGTGAGTAAAGGGTGCAAATGTAAATTCTGACACAATTGCACAACTTATGTTCTGTTTATTGGAATGTCAGCTTTTATCTCAGAGGCAGAAATAAAAATGTGGAAAAGATGATTAGATTGTACAGAGCAATAATGTTCAGCTTTGGGGATCAAATTTCAGGAAAGATATCAAAAGCCAAAAAAGAACATAAGAGCTGGAAACTAGAAATAAACCAGAAAGTGGAAGAAATTCTCAGATCAGACAGCATCAGTCAAGACAGGTTGACAGGTAACATTTCTGGTCAATAAACATTGGCCAGAACTGGGAAAAGTTAGAAATGGAACAGCAAGTGAAAGTTTAGGATGTGAAAACTGATAATCTGCAACTATGATATTTACTTGTATCAAATTGTCAGTCACATAATTCAAAGAATTCAGTGAATTATTAAAGCACCTAGTATCTACTTATGCAGACTTAAATTCAATAGTACATGCATGTCTGGGCTCAAGTTAATGAATTTAAATGTATTGTAGTACACTTCCAATCACGTGTTGTCATTAAAGAACAAAGCTCAGTAAGACAGAGACAGAGCTTTATACTATTAGCTTGCATGCAATGATTGGATGATGACATAGTTAGCAAGTCTCTAAAGGGTATATCACACATCTGCAACAGAGCAGACTGGGAGTTGTATGACAGTAGAGTCATCTGATCTTCATTTCGTCTTCACATATGGAGAAAGCCATATTTTGAGTAAGTAATACGATATACCAAGTTGAAACTACAAACAAGAAGCTGATTCATGTCTAAGGAGTGTTTGGGCCCTTGGACAGCAAGGAGCAAGGAAATAAAAGATCAGGTGATGTATCAACTTGGTTGGATCACTCCTGTTTAGTTGGTAATAGAGGCCCCAGACTTCCAGAGACCTGTTATTTAAATTCTGCTGCCAGCTTGACTCTTCCATCAGCCTCCTACATGGGAGGCAAAGCCCAAAGAACCTCAAGAAACAGCATGTCAATCTTTTTCCTGATAGCTTTACAGCCTTCAGGCCTTTTAAGTTTATAATCTTAACATTAAAACCACAAGTGGAGGAGGTTAACCTTTACTGGCTTAGTCATTACTTATTGCTTTTCCTGCAACCCCCTTCTCTCCTCATTTTCAGACAGCTGCTGTTCACCATTCTGCCATTCATACCACCTCTAGACACAAGTTTTCCTTCCTTGTTCCTTCAACACTCCTTTTGACCTTGCACCATTTTGTCATTTAATTGATCCTTCCTTTCACCCATCATTCCTAAATTTCCCCAGTTCTGATCAAAGTTCAATATGGAATATTATATCTGTTTTCCTCTCAAAAGATGCAGATTCATCTACTGAGTATTAAGCATTTTGTTTTTATTTTAGAGATATATTGGCCTTGGAAGTTGCTGCACAAGTTCATCAGTCTGAGAGGGGTGAAAGAAGAGAAAAGATTGCATCAGCTAGAATCACTACAGAGTAGAGAAGATAAAAGGTATTGATTCAGTTATCACTTAAGTAATTAAGACAAAATGAAGAGAAATCATTTCACCTGGTGAGAGAAATCTAGAAAAGAAACTGAGCATATAACTAGCGAGACAACCTGGGAAATAATAGAGGTGTCTCTGAAGGTTACTTTTTCCTCATTCCCTCTTGGCCACTACACACCTTGAAAAATAACATTTTTGCATCTTTATTTTGCTTGGATCAAGTTTAAAGACTACCTTCTGCCTTTAAAAAAAACCCAAGTTAAAACAGGAAGCTCTGATCGGTAAAAGAATCATAGGATCTCTATACTGTGGAAACAGGCCATTTGGCCCATCAGATCCACAATGACCCTCCAAAGAGCATCCCAAGTAGATCCCTCCCCCCACCCCCACCATCCCTGTAACGTTTTGCATTTCCCATAGCTGACCCACCTAGCCTGCACACCCCTGGACACTATGGGCTATTTAGCATGGCCAATCCACCTAACCTGCACATCATTGGACTGTGGGAGGAAACCGGAGCACCCGGAGAAAACCCATGCAGACATGGGGAGGTTGTGCAAACTCCATGCAGGCAGACCAAAGGTGGAATCGAACCCAGGTCCCTCGTACTGTAAGGCAGCACTGCTAACCACTGAGCCACTGTGCTGCCCCAGGGATTATAATGATAAAACTTGTTCACCCAGAGGGTCTTGAGTGTTTGGAATTGATGGATTCTGTTAAGAAGTGAACCATGGCCAGCACAGGCAAAACGAAGTGGCAAAGCAATCCTTTTAAGCTATTTTAGCTAGCCTCTAACATATGCAACTTCTGTCAGAAAAGGAAAATTCACTGCTGACATTGACATAATTAACATCAATAAGTAATGTAAATATAATAGATGAATGTTAACATTTCTCTAAGGCATGGAGAATAAAGTTATTTATAGACCTTCAAACAGGACTACAAGATATTGCACTAACAGCAGTGAGAGGATGGTTTTTGGAAACGGATTTGAAAAATGGTTATTTCAAGGAATTACAAAAGATCAATGGATACCAGGATTGATCATCATCTCCAAGTCCAAGTGTTCATAGAAAATAAAACCATAAAAGAGTGGTGGGCTTGGTACGTGTTCACGTATGCATGGAATTAAAAGGCTTCTGATTATTTGGGTCATTTGTGACAGCATTTGATGTGAGATTGATTTTATTCCTCTTTTGGCAGTAGCGTGTTGTTGAGATAGACATATACTGTCCAACAGTGGCTATTGTTGATATATGACAATAAACAAAAGGTATGTGACGATCAATAAATCTTTCAAGTAGACTGGAGCTGATTAAATCTGAACTCATTTTCTGGCAGTATCCAATATGATGTTGTCCAATGCCTCAGAATTCAAAACTAACTACTTGAATGCATCTAGAATTAATTATATTGCATGCCAGAACTTTGAATCTAAAGTTAATCTTTCATTAATTTTGGTACAATTATGACAATTTGGAGATTATTAACAAAGTTACTGCTGGCACCAAGCTGTTCACATTTGTTTTTCACTTCATGCATTTTAGTTTTAGTCAGTGATTGTTCTTTTAATGATCATTATGCAACTTGAACAAACTTGAAAACAAATTCACTTTGTATAAATGCACGTATTACAGGCATAAATTAAAATGAAGTTTGCAATTCTATTTGGTCTACTTTTTCCTAAAATATGGAAATAGTTTTCCATTAATTGGACAAACTGTTGAAGCATTAGATTTTATAAATCAGTATACATTTGTAGACATCTAATATTGGTTAGTCATGCAGTGAAGCAATGTAGTTTCGCTTTGTTCTTGCAGTAGCTGTATACACACACTGGCTTTATAAAATGAGTCTCAGTAAAACAGATCACTATTTTAAAAAATGCCATTTCAATGCTACTTTAAGGGCTGGCAATTTGGAGAAAACAACTTCAAACAATGAAAGATTTCAGACGCACATTTTCAAGTGGAGATGAAAAGTTGCACAGACATTTTTCTCCCTCTCCTTGGTTTCATCCCCACATGTAACAGGGAAAACGTGGTGAAATGTTAATGAAAATAATCTATATTCAAAATAATAAATTTTCAATAAAATATACTTCAAGAATTATAGGGTTTTGCAAATTTATTGGAACATTAAATCAAGTTATATAATTGTATAGTTAGAACATACCAAATATTCATACAAATTTGTTAAAATTAAAAGGGATACCAAGTGAAGTTCAAACTACAAACAAGAGTTTTCCATGTCTTATTGGAAGTAATTCAGAATGGAGTATTGAACAAATCAAGGTGAAACTGTGTAGGAAAGCTAACTGAGTTTTCTCCACCCCACCCCCAGTGTATCAAGTCTTCTTCTGTATTATCAAATGGAATTCTAAGCTGGCATTTATTAAACATCATGCAAAGTCAAGGAACCCAGAGGAAATCATGAGGCCAAATTTTGTGCATCTCAGAAAATAGATTTGTAGGAGGTCTAGAATGAGTTATGAGTGTACAAGGAAAAACTTCATTGTTATTGATATCTTATGCAATCTAAATAAAATATACTTTGTGTCATGCATCTCATGATGAAACTTCAAAGTCCTTCATAAGGAATTACTGTGTTTGAAGTTGTGACTTGCATTTAAAAACGTATGACTAGTCATTGTGAAGTACTATGCTATGAATATATTACAAAAATTTATTTTCATGGTTTTACCTCGCCTTCGCCCATATGTCCTTGCTGCATGTAAACAGAAAGAAAACACTTTTCAATCAAAGAAGATAAATTTATTTTCTTTATCACACCCATGTAGAAAAAGCAATGCAGAAACTATGGATTAAAATGTCAAGAAAACAGTCTAAATTAGTTTCACTCTTCAAAGTGCAAAAGGGCAATGTGCAATTTAAATGGATGTCACATTTGTAAAAAGTATAAATGTTAATACTGAAAACCCTAAACAGAAGCCTTCTATTGTGACATTAGCAAAAATTTGATATCAAATTAACAACTTTTTCCAATCATTAATTACTAAATGACCAATATTTTTCAAAAGTGAGGGATAAAGAAAGGCAGGATAAATTGCATAGTTGATTAAAAAGCTGATAAACAGTTACATCAAATTCCTCTTGGTCTTGCCACGAAAACAGATGGAATTAGTCAAACAATTGTAAAGATTTCAACTATTACACTGGTCGCCTAGAGGCAAGTCTTATCCCTAGTTCAAAAACAACAGTACAATTTGCCTGAGGAGAGTGTGTGGACCACTGCAGTCTATGTGAAGAAGTAGCTGCTGCAATGTTGGCTTGTTAAGAAGTTCCAAGATTTCATCCTCGTGGTGATGAAGGAAAATGATAAAGTTCAAATCAGTATGTGTGACTTGAAAGAAAACACAAAAGCAATGTTGATCAAATGCACCTATTAAATGTTGAAGGTTTAGGAGCTGCTGCAGTGCATGTAGTAAATGGATGGAGTAAATATCAAACTCTGGTTGGAATGCTGATTGAGTGGACCACTTTGTACAGAATAATGGCAAATTTCTTGTCTTAGGAGCTGCACCCACCCAGGCGATAGAGGATACAATATAACATTGCATCTTGCATTCCAGTTCATTAAAACTAGGAGGAGTAGGATGCTCAACTCGGAGCCTACTCCCCCATTCAATATCCTCTACATCACTGCCATACTCCCACGATCTCTCCAAATCCCTTGATATCTTTTAAAAGAAAACCCGAGACCCAGTTTCTGGGATGGAAAGTTTTCTTATCCCAGATCTAAATGACCTACTCCGTATCCAGAGACTGTGACTCTTTGCTCTAAGACTCCCCAGTGGAAACACCCATCCTGCATTTTGTCTGTCTAGCCCAATTCGAATGCTATGCCTTTCAATCGGACACCCACTCGTTCTTCTAAATTCACTAATCTCTCTTCACACGACAATCGTGCCAACCCCGGTATCAGGCTAGAGAACCTTTGCTGTACATCCCCAAGTAGTATATCCTCTCAGATATGGAGGAAAACTGTACACAACACTCCAAGTGTAGTCTTACCAAGCCATAAATGCAGCACCACGGAAAGCAAGGGGAAATTCATACAGCATAGAAACAGATCCTTCTGTTAATTCGTCTGCACCGACCAGAATATCCCAATCTGGAGTGTCAGAGGCTGAGGAGTGACCTTATAAAGGCTTATAAAATCAAGAGGGGTGTGGATAGTGAATAGCCAGGATCTTTTTCCTAGGCTAGTCCCATTTGCCAGCATTTGGTCCTTATTCCTCCTAACCTTTCCTACTCATGTATCTATCCAAATAGGCCTTTCAAATATTGTGATTGCACCAGCCTCCCCACTTCCTGTGGTAGCTTGTTCCAAACATGCACCACTCTCTGCGTGAAAGTGTTACTCATCAGGTCCTTTTTAAAATTTTCACTTCTTACCTTAAAACCCTAGGAAAAAGATCTTGGGTATTCACTCTATCCACACCCCTCATGATTTTATAAGCCTTTAAGGTCACTCCTCAGCCTCTGACACTCCAGAAAAAAAATGGCCCCAGCCTATTCAGCCTCTCCCTATAGTTCAAACCCTCCAACCCTGGCAACGTCCTTGTACATCTTTTCTGAACCCTTTCAAGTTTCACAATATCTTTCCTAAAGCAGGGAGACCAGAATTGAACACAGTATACTAAAAAAGAGGCCTCAATGTACTGTACAGCCACAACATGACATCCCAAATCATACTGAATGTCCTGATCAATGAAGGCAAGTGTGCCAAATGTCATCTTTACCACCCTTGCCTACCTGCGACTCCACTTTCAAGGAAATGTGTGCCTGCACCTCTAGGTCTTTGTTCGACAACACTCCCCAGGATACTACCATTAAGTGTATAAGTTCTGCTTTAGTTTGCCTTACCAAAATACAACACTTTACATTTATCTACATTAAACTTCACCTGCCACTCTTTGGCTCCATTGGCCCATCTGCCCATCTGATCAAGGTCCAGTTGAAGTCTGCGGTAACCTCCTTCACTGTCCACTACACCACATATTTTGGTGTCCTCTGCAAACTTAGTAATCATACCTCCATATTCACATCCAAATCATTTACATGAATGGCAGAAGCAACGGATGGGGAGACTGTCACTGTAGAAACGCACATGATCTGATCAACTAATCAAAGTTTATCGTCAAGACAGAGCATATTCATGCTATATATTATTCTATTACACAACGACCAGAAGGCTCCAAAACTGCCAACTCAATCATTTAATCAAGTTTTGAACATGTTAAATCCTTGAATGTAAAGTGTATGGTATGCACACTATACATTGCACCTAATCCCAGCTATCCCTTTTATCCCCCAAAAAAGGTAATCACATTCTCCCAAAGTTTTAAAAAGTGTAGCAAAAGATGATTTCATGATATTTTTCAATTAACCTTAATGCTTGATAGTCATGCCTGTCAGAAGAAAATTTGACATATGACAAAAGTTTTAAAGAAAGAAAATGCTACAACAGCACAAGACAAGGAGTGCTGATATAAAAAGGACTGACTTCACCTTAAACTGCAATAATTCAAGTTGAAGCTAATACAGTCCTGCAATGGTCAGGTTCGGTTATTTCCTAAGTGGGATTAGTTAGCTCAGTAGGTTGGACAGCTGGTTTGTAATGCAATGTGATGCCAACTATACAGGTTCACTTCCTGCAACTAGCTGAGGTTACCGTGAAGGACTCTTTGAAAATCTTCACTCACCTGAGATGTGGTAACCCTCAAGTTAAACCATCACCAATTGTTTCTTTAATGAGAGACTCTGGTAGGACTAAGCTGACTTTACTTTTATTTCTCCAGTGGAAGATGAAATGGACAAAGGTCAATTTGCAAGAATTTCAGAGGTTGTTCCATTTGCTTCAAATGGAAAATTGATCAAGTTCAAAATACATCAACAGAAGACAGATTTCAAAGCAAAACAATGATTTAGTACCACATAACAGGAGATTCAAAAACATAGGAGAATCTTTTGACTAGTCAGACTTTGGAATAAGTAGTTAAATATATATAAAATATGTAAGCATTTACTAGATAGAGTCAAGTAAGGAATCAATTATGCTAGGGAAAAGCATTCATTAGTGTTTAAAAATGTTAAGATGGGTGTTCATGGATAGACAAGTTGTACTTAAACTGATGAGGTACAAGACCATTAAGAGAAGTTGCATCTAAAAATACTGTGGGAAATTAATGTGGAAATTCAGGAGGCATGACCATATTTTCCAGCCATCCTTGGACTCCAGGACGGTACCAGAGGAGGGAAGAATTGCAAATGTTACTGTTCAAAGAAAGTTTAAAGTTAAACCTAGAAATGACAAGGCAGTCTGTTTAATTTTGGTGCGTAATTCAAGACAAAATTGAGACTTGGCAAATGCAGTTTAATTAGACAAAGCCAGCATAGCTTTGTTATGGGTGAATTACATTCAACTAGATCTTACCCTAGACATTGGTTTACAGGGCACAACTTCAAAATATGCACATGATACAAAGTTTGAAATCTTTGTGAACAGTGATAAAGAATAGCTCAGAATTTCATAAGGACAGTCAACAGGGTGGTACATATGTGGTGGGTGAAACTAAATGCAGAAAAGAGTAAAGGGATTCCTTTTTGTAGGAAGGATAGAAATATAAAAAAGGCTAGTTTTAAAATGGCATGCAGGAACAGCAGGACATGAGTGTGTTGCACATCAATCACTGAAGGTGGCAACATATGTTGAGACAGCACTATTAATAAATACAAAAGCAGTAATTGTAAAACTTGCATAGTTCTGATTCAGCCTCAGCAGCAGTTTTCTGTGCCACACTTTAGGAAATTTACACACGCACTGGAGTGCAGGAAAGATATGAGATTGCTCCCAGGGATGAGCAAATTCAGTTGCATAAACAGATTGGAGAAATTATCCCATAATCTTAGACTACAACCCCCGATTTTAGACACTCCAGTCATCAGAAGCTTCCTTCTTGACTTGTTAAAATTCTGAGGGGTTTCTATAAAATTTCCCTCTCACTCTCCTAAACTCAAGTGAATATAGTCCTAGCCAATCTAGTCTCACTTCATATGCCAGTCCTGCCATCCCAGGAAACAGGTGTTCCTGTTCCATAGTCAGAACATCCTTCCTCAGATAAGGCACCCAAAACCTGGCACAATACTCTGTGTGGAATCATCAAGGCCCTGTACAACTGCAGCAAGATATAACCAGATGAGGCTGATTAAACCAGATCCAACATCAGCATTCAATTTATGGGAATCACCTTATGAAAGTGATATTCACTTTGATGGGGGTGCAACATAGACTAACTAGAATAATATTTGAAGGATGGTATTACTGCAATAGCTGAAATTGGTTCACGAGATCAGTATGTAGAAATCGGTTAGATGAAGATAAGGAACGATGGGAGAAAAAGTCTTCACTACCATGAGTGGTCTACAGGCCCCAAAACAAAAAGGTCAGAAATGAGGGATGACTTTAATCTATACATAATCTGGAAAGATCAGGCTGCAAGTAGCAGCTTTGATGAGGAGCTCATTGGATGCTTTTGAGATGTTTCTTAGATTGGTTTAATTTTACATCGGTTTGAAAGGTAGAAGATGGAGGCTAAGACTAGCACTTTAAATTAAGAGCAACTAAATGGGCATGAAAACTGAGCTAGCTGAAGTAAAACTCACATTTAAGGTTATGGAATAGATCAGAGATCCAAGGCAGAC